AAGAAGAAATTTCTGCCACCCAAGTGAACGTCGTCAGGAAAAAGAAACCTGTACTGAAACCCAACTTCCACGCCAACTCTTCTCCTTCCGCTAAGGAATCCCGAGGAAAATGTCATGGCTGTAACGGGAAGCACGTGCGTTCTGTATGCAAGTTCCGGACAGCCAAATGTCACAAATGCCAGAAAATTGGTCACATCGCATCCGTTTGCCGATCGACAAAGTCCAAACCACGTCTGCATTCCGTGCTCGTTAATCGCGCCCTCAGTGAAGTCGACTTTACTAAGGAGAGAACATTCGTCACTGTTTCTGTTAACGGTACGCCGATTAAATTTCGTGCTGATGGCGGAGCTGATGTTTCGGTAATCGGTACTAAAGCCTGGAAAAGCTGGCATCTCGAAAACTTAGTATATTTCACGGCAGCTGTTCAAATGCTGGCGGCAAGCGTATTTCTCTGAAAGGGTATTTCACTGCCAAATTTACCTTCGGCGACAAAAGATTAATGACCCAGTAATTGTTCTTCTTCGTCGCGAGTCTAATTTGCTTTGTGGCAGAGTATTGGAATACCTTGATATTCTTCTGTGGCAGCACAAAACTTCTGATTCTGTTGATATTAGCGCCTTCTCCGCTCATATGCTGACAACAAGTTTTCCAAAATTATTTTAAGGAGATCTCGGGATGTGCTCGAAAACAAAGGTACAGCTAATTTTAAACGAAGACATTAAGCCAGTTCATATACGTGTTATATACGTGCTTGACCGGTTGCTTTGGCAATTCAAGAACAAGTCGGTGCGGAGCTTGATCGTCTTGTGGCAAGTGTTATTGCGCGCCAGTTGATTCATCTGACTGGGCTGCTCCCATCGTGGTTGCTAGAAAAGCTAATGGGAGGATTCGTCTCTGTGCGGATTATTCTACTGGTCTAAACGACGCTTTAAAAGATATTATTTATCCTATTCCTAAAGTGGAGGATGTTGTGGCCAAATTTCCTGGTAACACTATATTTTCTCAGCTGCATCTGTCTGATGCCCATCTTCAGCTGCGTCTTGATGAATCTAGTCAGAAGATGACAACAATCAGCACCCACAAAGGCCTTTTCCAGTACAATCGTCTTGTTTTTGGTCTCAAGCCAGCTCCTGCTATCTTCCAGAAGACAGTGGATCAAGCCCCTTCCGGTATTGAAGGCACCTTGGTCTATCTTGATGATATACTTATTATGGGACCAGACAAATTAACTTACGATCAACGTCTTCATGCTGTATTGCAACGACTTTAAGAATGGGGCTTTTGTCTTCAGCTTGGAAAGTACAGTTTCTGTGTCCCCAAAGTGAAATACTTAGGCATGATTATTTGGGCAAACGGTATTGAAGCGGATCCAAGTCGTATTAGCGCAGTTCAACATCTTCGCACTCCTCAGACCCAGAAAGACGTTCGATCATTACTGGGCCTTGTGAATTATTATGGAAAATTTGTGCCTTCTCTACA